ACGTGATTCACGGGATTCCTCCCCCACCAACCCCGGGGAGACTGCCGCAGACCCGAAAATAAAGGGCTGGTCCACTGCCCTCCGCAGATCGGGTGGGCAGCTGGAAGCACGGAAGGAAGCCTGTCCTCGCAGTCTCGGTGACCTGTTTGTTTACTACACTGTTTTCGCTTCCTTCGCCCCTGCTCTGGTCTAACAGACTGGGAACAGGGGTCACGAACAGGCAGCACTAAGGCCTGGAAAGCATTTTCCTGCAGGCTAAATTTGTACGCCTTAGACAGTGGCATGCTCTTCCTTTCCTTACCCGCCGACCTCTTCACGCGTTCGTATCACTGGCCCGGTTTTTGAAGGCACTTTGGCTGCTTACCCTTAGCTAGGATAAGTAGGTTCTGCTGAGTGAATCCCCCAGCCCTCTAAAATGAAGAGCTATCAGTGTGTTCTAAGCAGACAGCCGGAAAACTAATTTCCTGAAGCTGGTAAACTACAACTATCCCTCTGCTTCTTTGTGGGATGACTGGCAGCTGGGATACTGGCAGCTCAGCACCATTTATCTCAAAGGTTATAGAACTGAGATGGCTCGAGTCCACCCAAAGTCGTAAATCTTGCTAGAATTAACACAAAAAGCCTCAAGCAGAAAAATTCGAGAACTAGGAAATCTTAACTTACTCCCTCAATTTTCTGTGTTCCCATTTCTAGGTCTTAAGATGTGAAAATAATGAGATAATTGTAGCTGATTTTGCTGGATAGCCATCAGACCTGTAATTCTGGAGCTGACTGTTCCATACACATAGTCTTTAAAAATTTATGGAAGTGACAATTTGCTGAAATAAAAATTATCGAATGCCTATGTCAGACGCTGTGCTAGGTAGAGGGGAGGACAATGTCCCTATTTAAAAGAGATTTGTAGTCGCTTAAAATTACAGTGATAAATTCCATGATAGCATTATGCACAGAGTGCATTTTCTCCATCTGGGAGACAGGAAGATCAGAAATATCTAAACGGGGAATAGTTCAGTTTGAAGCACATGCATTTTGTGATGCTTCTGGACCACAGGTAGAACTATCTAGTAAACAATTACCTACATGGTTCAGAAGCCCAGTGGGAGGACTAGAGTATATAACCTAAGCATCAGTCACTCCAGTCTCTCCTGCACTTTTTAAAGGTCACCTCTCTTTAATATATATTGAATAAGAGTTTAATAGCGAATACCAATTCTTATGAAAATGTGAGCAGGTTGGACGAGAACCAAGAGAGTGGTGTCATGATAGCCTAGGAAGGAGCGGTCAGCCATGTGAAAATCCCAGTAAGGTCAAATAAAAATTAGCCCGACAATTTCCCATCGGATTTGATGTTTTGTGGTTATAGTTATAGTGTCAGATATATAATAACCAAGGTCCTTTTGGTAGCAGATAATGAAATCAAATTTGACTAGTGAGCAAGAGAGGGAATTTATTGTAGAGCTTTTGGTATATCCCACAGATCTAAGGATTGGTTTCAAAACCCAAACTTTGGGAAAAACTGGAACTAGGACAGATTGTAGATGTTCTCTCTAAAGCAGAGCCATCCAGTAGAAATTTCTATGATGATGAAAATGTTCTGTGTCTTCTCTAATATGGTGGCCATTAGCTACAAACGGTGTTGAGCACCTGAAATGTAGTTAGTGCAATTGAGACACTGACTATTTTAATGAAATTCAAATGTCCATATGTGGCTAGTGGTTCCTATATTGCACAGTGCAGCTTCAAAGCTTTGCCACTAACATGACTTATCTCCAATTATTCTCAGCTTCTATCTCAGTTTAAAATTGCAAATCTCTTGGAGAGAAAATGCAAATGGTGCAGTTTAGGTAAGAGATCCACTCCTGGATCAATCAGCTGTGGCTAGGATCACATAGTGCAGAAATGGCTGCTGAGGGCTTGTCTGTGTGTTTCTGAAACCGTTCTCCCTCCACAAGGGGAATCATTATAAGCTGAGGTCTGTGATAAGATGTAGTAGTGAATTATTTAGGGTAAGACTAAGCTTCTGTATCAAAAAGCCCCTAAAATAAATCCATGGCCTAAAGAACATAGACGTTTATTTCTCTCAGTGTAACTATTACAAAGTGAGTGATTCAGATTGGTGGAGTAGCTCTGCTACACACATTCAGAGATATAGGTTTCTTTGAGATATCTGTTCTGTTATTCTCCAGCATTTTGTTGCATAATCAAGATGGTCACAGTGGATTCCAGCCAAAGAAAAAGAAGAAAAGAGAGAGCGTGCCCGCAATCTAAAGACCCGAGCTCAGAAATAATACACAATATTTCTGCTTGTGTTGCATTGGAGAAAACTTAGTCATGTGGTCACACCTAACCTCAAGGGAAGCTAGAAAAGGTAGATTAGCAATGTACCAAGTAAGACTGAAAAAAAAAAAAATTTTAATAGTCAATTAGTCTTTATCACAAATGGTGAGAATACAAAAGTAATAATACATATTTCCTGCCTTCAAGGATATCACAGGTTTGGTGAGAGGAGACAGATGAGTATTAAACTAGCAACGAATATGGCTGTAAGAACTCAAAAGAATAACTTAAAACGATATTTCTCAAACTTTAATACATAATTACCTGGGAATCTTGTTAAAATGCAGATTCTGATTCAGCAGATCTGGGATCAGAGGGGCCTTGAGATCTGCTTTCCAAACGAGCTTTCCAGATGATGCCAATGCTGCTGGTCCTTGGACCATATTTTGAGTAGCAAGCAATTTCATATTCAGCAAATACCACAGAAAGAATGGCATTTGAACTACACCTTTAAATTATGGTGCAGTGATGAAGAGACCAGCTTTGGATATTAGACATCCTACCTCTGACTTACCTGCTAATTTAATTTGTTTCCCTTTAAGCCTAATAAAGATCTTAAGTAACAGAGAACCTCACAGAAACTGGATTTAACAATAAAAGTTGATTGACTCATTAACAGAAGAGTTCACTAGGTTTCTTGCAAGTTTTGATCAGGCGGTCTCTTGTTTCATATTTCTTTTCTTTTCACTCTGTCCTTTGTCTTCAGGCTGGCTTCTTTGGTGATAAAGTGAAAAGATGGCAATTTTACACCCATTTTACAAAAAACATGTAGTTTAAAGTGTTTTTCTATAATTGAACGTTCTTCACAAGGCTCCACTTCGGTGGGTAGCCGGGAGTCTTTATCTTGTCTATTCATGTTACTTCCATTTCTTTTTTGATAAAGTCTCTTTCAAATAAATGCTGTCTTGAAGATTTCCTTCCCATTCTACTTAATCTACAGAGTAGATTCATAATGATAGTGGTAGAAAGGGTTTAACAACAGTGGTGGAGAGAGTGATCATACTCCAACTTTGTTTTCCGTATGCTTACCCATCACTGCTTCAGGATGTCTGATCTTTCCTACTGGGTCTCCTGCATTGGTGTCTAATGAGGTACAGATAGTGAGCCTCTGATTTCCTCCTTAAAGATACTACAGTGCCCATGAAAGCTCAGACACATCCTTCATCTTTCCATTCTGTTGCCTCTACAGTGGGGTCCCCTTGCTCTCAACACCCTGCTTCTCCAAGCATGTGAGAATGTTATTTCCCTTAAACTTGACATAAGAGCTGAGAGCAGGTCAAGAATGATGACTCATCTCCTTTCCCTATCACATGTTATGTTTCATTTTGCTGGGATCACCCCAAATTGAGGGTGGAGGAACATCCTAAGGTACAGTCTTACCCAATAACTGGTGAAAGCTACTCTGCTTTCAACTTTCTCTTCAACCCAGTCCCCGTGAGATTTTACCTTGAAATAACACATATATATCTGATCCTTTGTTTTCACTAAGCCGGAGGAGCTTTTTTCTTCTTCTTCCTACCTAAAAATTCTCCTCTTACATATATTCCGAGTCCTCTCTGGATTGACCCTACTTTGTGGCTTATAGTAATACTCTATATTCAGACTTTAATGCTTTGAGTTTGATATATAACGAGAAATTTAGAGAGCCCCTTTCTCTGTGAATAAAGCTAAACTGTTTAGACAGTTGTCTCGCTAAATAATCAAATAATTTTGCTTGGAAACTTGAAGCTGAAAACAAAATCTTTGTTCTAGGTGGTATCTACTCTATTAAAGGTGAGTTTCTTTGATTTAACGAATGGGTAGGGTGGTGGCTTTGTAATGTGTCAACTTGGCTAGGCTGAATTACATTTTCCAGAATTCCCTTCCCTGTACGTTTCTAGCTAGATTCTATTACAAGAGAGATTCTTACGGGAGTTTTGAAGGGCAGGAGTGAAGCAGCAGCCATCTCATGGCTCACAAATGTGGTTACTTACCTGCTGGCTCCTCTGGTCGTAAGGCAGAGGCAGCGCTTGCTGCTGCTCTAACTTCCCTTGGATCCTCTTTAGAGTCTCCGACCCAGGGCCCAGCTTCTTCAGGACACCAATACCACCAAGGTTAGAAGCAACAAGAACTGACGTG